AAAAAAAGTTACCGTTTGAACTACGCCTTATTGTGCAGCATAACATGGTCGAAATGGTTCTGATGTTCTTTCCAGAGTGAATGCAAAGGTTCAGTCTTAGACTAATCCAGAAGTACAGGAATAACTACAACCAGGATTTCATTCTCAAGTTTTTCATAGGAATCTTTTCTATTTTAATTAAAGGTGAGGTCCAACAGCTGAAATGGCTTCAGTACTGGTAGTCAATCAACTGCGAGCTAAAAACAGCTTTAACTTACTGCTCAAAAGAATATTTTGAGGGTAAGTGATAAGATGGACAATGACTAAATCAAATAAATACTAAATATTTAGGAATAGTAGCCTTTCCATCTCATTGCATTTAGTAGTCCCTAGTCTGAAGTTGTAGGGGAATTCTGATTTTACTTTCATCCTTTTTGGGCTTGGACTAGGCCCAGTTCTCATTTCTTTGTCTTATCTGCATGTATTCAACTGCCCAGCATATTACTGACTTAGCCCTTGGAAAAATTAAGCAATTATATCTCACTTAGCGATATCTAAATAGTAAGGGGGTTCCCAACAAATAAAACAGCTCCTTTAAAAAGTTCACAGTTATGCTGAATACTGACAATGAAAAAATTAAAATGTAAAAATTCACAGTTTTTATTGCTGGATTCAGAGGGGAGGGAGGATGGAAAAGATTTGCCATTTCAAAGTGTTTACTTTCTTTTCTGCTTTCTTTTTTCTCATAGGAAAACACAAAAAGCTCTCCCACATCACATCCCAGATTTACCAAAAAAGAAAACACCTGATACTGGCTGTATAATGTTGGCACCAGGACCTTTTTAGCATTTTGCAGTCAAGTGCCAGTGACTTCTTTGTTCCTTCAGAAGCATTCGAAAAAGCAGCTTGTTTCATGAGTTTCAAAGACAATTTTCACAACTATTAACTGTCACCTCCCAAACTGCCACAGAACCTTTTAGGTCCTACATTCTGTCATTTCTGGGAAATACTCATCTTCTAAAACCACACTCCACTTATTTTTGAATAGTAGTAGCAAATCTAGTCACCTTTTAGCAAGCACTTTCTATTTCCAAAACTTTGGCTTCCTTAGTAGCTGGAGCAAAGCTTCTGGCAGAAACACAAGTCCACATCAGGGGAGAGCCACAAGATCAATTCACGGTTATAAACTGGACTTACGCTCTGATGGATAGCAGCCATCAACTTTGCCCAATTCTTATAATTCTGAAGAGTTACCAAGGAGTTGCTACCAGCCACTGTACTAAAAGTGGCGTCACAGGATTAAAAATTGAAGAAAGTCTTTCTTCTCTGACTGATATGTTAGTGCTCTAGCATGCACCGAAGATCATTTTTGAGCTTTAAAATTTGACTGCACTGCTGGATTTCGGATATGCATGGGGCCTGTAACCCCTTTGTTTTGGCCAATTTCTCCCACTTGGAGTGGCTGCATTTACCCAATACCTGTACCCCTATTGTTTCTAGGAAGCAACTATCTTGCTTTGGATTTTATAGGCTCATAGGTGGAAGGGATTTGCCTTGTCTCAGATGAGACTTTGGACTGTGGACTTCTGGATTAATGCTGAAATGAGTTAAGACTTTTGTAACTACTGGGAAGGCATGATTGGTTTTGAAATGTGAGGACATGAGATTTGGAGGGTCCAGTGCCAGAATGATATAGTTGGCTATGCCACTACCCAAATCTCAACTTGAATTGTATCTCCTAAAATTCCCATGTGTTGTGGGAGGGAGCCAGGGGGAGGTAATTGAATCATGGGGACAGGTCTTTCCCATGCCATTCTTGTGATAGTGAATAAGTCTCATGAGATCTGATGGGTTTACAGGGGGTTTCCGCTTTTGCTTTTTCCTTATTTTCTCTTGCCACCACTGTGTAAGAAGTGCCTTTCACCTCCTGCCATGATTCTGAGGCCTCCCCAGCCATGTGGAACTGTAAGTTCATTTAAACCTCTTTTTTCTCTCAGTCTCCGGTATGTTTTTATCAGTAGCATGAAAACAGACTAATACATTTATGATTTTTTATTAATATCTGCTAGGTTTTAATTTGTTGATAAAGATACTAAGAGGAAGATATCAATAACTGCTGATTGAAATGTTTCATCTGGGAATCAGAGTACTTCACTTATTTTCAACAAATTCTCAAAACCTTCAAGCACTCTGAAACCTTTCTGCTATAGGAAGAAGATATTACTCTTTTTATGATGGATGAAAAAATAAATGGAATATAGCTACAAGATGACTATGTAGCCTAATTTATTTTCAAGTACCTATTAATATATCATAATCTGAATATGATTTTTCCCAAATCAATGGATAGCAGAGATACATATTTAAATAATTGTTTTTATTGTCTTAGAATATGGATAGCTCATTTACCTATGTCAAATTTTTAGTGTTATTTCCAAACCTTCTACAGAATTGAAGATTTAGAAATAGTTGTTTACTTGCGAAATACTTATTACTTTCTATTATAAAAGTCTAAACTAGTTTATAGTCCATATTAAATCAGAACATTTAAAGATTAAAATATGCTATTTCATTTTTGCTAGTCCTTTTTAGTTAATGAGTAAGGGAAATACAGTGTTCACTCAGGTAAACTAGCCTACAGTTACATGTGAGGTCATTTATGATGAGCAAACAATGGATTAGGTAACAATGAGGAAAATTCTGGAAGTTTGAGTTTGTGTGCTTACTAGCAACCACTTTCAACATTTCTGCAAAGCTAGAGAAGGTATCTTCTAATTTAAATTTCTTTAAGAATTATCTATTGTGTAATATACTGTCAACAGGAGGTCAGTTTTAAAGGAATACTACTGATAGCCTGAAAGACTGTGAGAAAGATATTCTTTTTCTCTCTTACACACTGATAGTTCTTATATTTGCATTTCTACGATTCTTATACATATATATTTTTCAAAAAAAATTGGATTAGCAGCAAGAGAGTTGAAAATGGCAGAAGTTGGGAATGACTGCTATTTCTTTTTTAATTCCACATGCATAAAGGTAAATATTGTACTATTTACAGTACTTCACATGCTTAATCTTTTTAGTAGAATGAAGGAAGATATGGCAGTAACTTGCATTGCTGAACCAAAATTTACTATTTTCTTGGAAGATATCTTATATACTTAAAATATGGAGTAAAAAAGCCTATCATGTATTTTTGACATACTGAATTAATCTGAAGAAATCTGAGATAATTTAAAACTATTATTTGCTTGAAACTACCCTTATATGTCAGTTACATGCCTATAGCTTTTGAATATTCATGTGGCACTTTTGCCTGTATGATGGCACCTTGAGACATTAAATTCCTAATATTGAAACATTATATGATATAAGATTTTGTTTTAGTTAATATGATTCCAGTCATTATAAATTTAAATAGTTGAATTCAGGTAACTGTCAAAGTTAGTGTAATAAATTTGTTTCCTTATTTGAAATTTTTTAACCCAATTACTAAGTTTTCATTTGTCAAAAGTCTAAGTAACAACCAATGTTTAAATATCATAAAAAAGAAAAGAAAATTAATATAAGCCAATTGGCCACATATAAATTAAAGTTTATAAAGTTAAATGGGAAAAACTGATAATTCCCCCACGGAATTAGGATGAATGGAGTTTAATAAAACCACATAAAGGTAAAAACTCAGTATTTGAAGCTTTGTGCTCATGCCAGAAAGAATCCAGTGAAAAAAGATGACGTCTGGTTTTAAGTGTTTCCTCTCTGTTAGGAAACCTGAATAGAGTCAACCTCTCTGACTACAGGAATTAGATTCACTTCTATTACCTGTTAGATTAAATGCTAGGATGATAAAGAATAACAACAGAATCCATGTCCAGGTGGGCAGAGTGTCTTGTCTATTTTATTGCTGTATGCCCAAGTATTTAGCACAGTGACTAATGAGTAGTAAGTTATCAGTAAATAATTAAATGAATAAATAAAAATAATAATAGCTCACAACACCTTATCTCACGTCATTTTTACAGCTAACTTGTGAGGAGAGTATTTTTTTATTTCCTGTTTACATATGAGGAAACTAAAGCACAGAGAGTATGAGTTAAGTTTAACTTTGTGACGATGGGCAAGTAGTGGAGCCAGACGTTCAAATACCAGTTTATTGACTTGAAAGCCCCTGCACACTAACCCATGCTATGAGAGTACGTGGATCTACTTTAACAAGGGGAAAAGAATGAAGATGGAAGTAGGAGAGAGATAAAAGATAACTAACAACCGTGGAACATGTGTCAAAAGAGGGAAGAATGTTATCCTCTCTGCCCACACAACAGGGGCTTATAGTTTTACCAAGTGTGCATTTATGTGTAAAAGAACGTAGAATTTTTAAGAATAGCAGCCTATTGAAACTATCCACATCAACTTTTGTTGGCATATAAAGAAGTCAGTGAATATAGGCAATTCTTTATCTTTCTAAGCCAAAGGCACAAAACACATATATTTAATATAGTATATCAAAACATAATAATTAAAATTCCACAATAACATACCTTTTAAGCTCCATAAAAACCTAACAGTATCTCCATAGACTGAGAAAACAGATTATCTAATAAAAGGATTGATTCATAGAAACCGTTTTCACAATTAGTAGAAATTCTTAAAAATTTCATCTGGCTTTCTTCAGAAAGAGAAATTAAGTTATTATGTCATTGGATTGTGATCAAAGTGCCACTGGAGTCTTACATCTCTATTCCTAGTGGACCATATGGATTAATGGATAACAAAAGGTAGCATTTTATCAGTCATTTGCGGCATGTTATGCTATTTAATCATTAGATTATCTTGTTGCTTTCTCACTAAAGTTAGACTAATTTGCGGAAATTTAGACTTATGGTCTAATATTGGTAGAGTATATCTTTGTGATCCTAATTTAATCTACTCATTTCTTTTACTGATTAGCAGCCTATTGTTGTTGAACACTAATGTCAACAAATTGAGTTTTCTACACTGTTTACTTTTTCTTTTAGGGTTCCCAGTGCCGATTTCGACACTGTGAAGAGGCCCTTGGCAGTGACACTGTGTGCTCATTATGGAGAGAGAGGAAATGTTTAGATCCACTTTGCAGATTTAGACACATGGAAATGCAGGTAGAATTACTTAGCATCATCATTTTTGTTAAAAAGCATTTCCCTTCAATAATGCTGAATTATACTTTTACAAAACAATAGGGAAGAAATCTTTCTTCCTTCTACTATTTGATTTTAGGAATTTTGCCATTTTTTTCAACTTAATGGAGGAAAATGTTTTAGAAATACCCATTGCGTCTTTTGAATAGCAGGGCTTAGAAACGCTGGAAAACACACATGATCCTAAATCAGTTAACTGTAATTGTTTTTGTCTCATTGTGCTGTATTATAGCACATTGTATTTGTTGTGAATATGGTATATAATCACTACATTTCCCCCCATCTCCTTTTATCTAGCAAAACTGCAGCATTTCATGCTTCTGGGAAACCCAACCTCTTGGTTGTGTGAAGATCAGTTGTATCTTTTATCACAGCAAACCTCGAAATATCAATGGATTATTTTTGCCACCAAGTAGCAGTGAGTACATTTTTTGAAAACATGGACATACCATATTCTAATCTGGTTTTGGAGTGGCAGCGTAGAATGACACATTAAATACAGTATGACAAGATGAGCAATGCAATTTGATGGTCAATGGATAATTTGGAATGATTTTATCAGGATTCATGAGATGAGAGAAAGCTTAGGATGAACCATTAAGTAACTAACGAGATGATGTGAACAAAGAGCAAGTTAAACTTTCTCTGTGTGTATCTAAAATAGATATTATTCATATGAAAAATAAGACAGCTACTGACCTCACTAAACAGAAGGAGGCTATGTCTCAGCAAAGTATCACACAACTGAAGCTAAGCTTAGATATCATGCCTTCACTGGTGGTCTCTATGAATGTGCAGAAAGCTATCTCATAGGTGGAGAGAGCAAGGACATGACCTGGATTACACACTTCTGCTTCTAGCAGAACAGGCATGTGTGATGGTTCTTTCTAACTCCTCAATTGTGGAGAAAATGCAATGCCATTGCTACGAAAGCTGTGGCTCAATTCAGTCTAACTAAATTGTACTGAGACTCTAATATGTGATGAAAGTTAAAGTAGGTTCTGGAAAATGGATTCAGAAGACACCACAGTGTAAAGCAGTGAATGGTAAGAACATTGCTGAAGTCGGGACTATTATGTTTCCCTGATGCTTGTAACTACTCTACTTTCCTTCTATGGCCACCAAGTTTTTCTGATGGAATGGTTTTTTGTTTGTTGTTTGTTTGAGACAGAGTCTCTCTCTTTCACCCAGGCTGGAGTGCAGTGGCATGATCTTGGCTCATTTTAGCCTCTGTCTCCCAGGTTCAATATTTTCTCTCGTTCTGTAGGTTGTCTGTTTACTCTGTAGGTAGTTTCTTTGGCTGTGCAAAAGCTCTTTAGTTTAATTAAATCCTTTTCATCAATTTTTTTGTTGTTGTTGCGGTCGGCTTTTGGCATCTTTGTCATGTCCTACGTCCAGAATGGTATTTCCTAGGTTATTTTCCAGGATTTTTATAGTTTTAGGTTTTACAATGAAGGCTTTAATTCATTTTGAGTTGATTTTTGTATGTGGTATAAGGTAGGGGTTCAGTTTCCATTTTCTACATATGGCAAGCCAGTTATCTCAGCATCATTTATTGAATGGAGAGTCCTTTCCCCATTTCTTATTTTTGTCACCTTTGTCAAAGATCAGATGGTTTTAGGTGTGAGACATTATTTCTAGACTCTCTATTCTGTTCCATTGGCCTATGTGTCTTTTTTTGTGTGCCAGTACCATGCTTTTTTGGTTACTGTAGCCCTATAGTATAGTTTGAAGTTGGGTAACATGATGCCTCCTTCTTTGTTCTTTTTGCTTAACAGTCCCTTGGCAATTTGGGCTCGTTTTAGGTTCCATGTCAATTTTAAAATAGCTTTTTTCTAATTCTGTCAAGAATGTCATTGGTAGTTTGATAGAAATAGCATTGAATCTGTGAATTTCTTTGAATAGCATTGCTATTTTAATGATGTTCATTCTTCCTATCCATGAGCATAGAATGTTTTTCCATTTGTTTGCATCATTTCTGATTTCTTTAGGCAGTGTTTTGTAATTCTCATTGTAGACATCATTTGCCTCTCTGGTTAGCTGTATTCCTAGGTATATAATTCTTTTTGTGGTAGTTATTAATGGGATTGCATTCTTGATTTGACTCTTGGCTTGGATGTTGTTGGTGTACAGGAAAGCTACTGATATTTATCTGTTAATTTTGTATCCCGAAACTTTGCTGAAGTTGTTTATCAGATCAAAAAACTTTTGAGCAGAGACTATGAGGTTTTCTAGATGAAGAATTATGTCATCTGCAAGCAAGGGTAATTTGACTTCCTGGATTTCTATTTAGATAACTTTTATTATTTTTTTCTCTTGCCTGGTTGATCTGGCCAGGACTTTCAATAGTATGTTGAGTAGGAGCAGTAAGAGAGGTACACTTATCTTCCATTTTTCAAGGGGATTTTTTCCAGCCTTTGCTTATTCAGTCTGATGTAGGCTGTGGGATTTTTGTAGATGGCTCTTATTACTTTGAAGTACATTTCTTCAATTCCTAGTTTATTGAGGGTTTTTAACATGAAGCAATGTTGAATTTTATTAAAAGACTTTTCTGCATCTATTGAGATAATAATGTGGTTTTTAAAAAATTTTTAGTTCTGTTTATGTAATCAGTCACATTTATTGATTTGTGTACCTTGAACCAAACTTGCATCCCAGGGATAAAACATACTTTACCATGATGGATTAGCTTTTTGTTGTGGTGCTGAATTTGGTTTTCTAGTATTTTGTTGAGGATTTCCGCATCTGTGTTCATTGTGGATATTGGGCTGAAATTTTCTTTTTTGGTTTTGTTTCTGTCACATTTTGGTTTCAGGATGATGTTGGTCTCCTAGAATGAGCTAGGGATGAGTCTGTCCTCCTCAAATTTTTGAAATAGTCTCAGTAGGAATGGCACCAGCTTTTCTTTATACATCTGGCATAACTCAGCTGTGAGTCTGTCTGGCCCTGGGCTTTTTTTGGTTGGTAGGTTTTTTCTTACTTATACAGTTACAGAACACAGTATTGGTCTCTTCAGGGATTCACTTTCTTCCTCGTTTAGTCTTGGGAGGTTGTATGTGTTTAGCAATGTATTCATTTCTTCCAAATTTTCTAATTTGTATGCATAGAGGTGTTTATAGTAGCGTCTGATAGTTTTTGTATTTCTGTAGGGTCAGTGGTAATGTCTCCTTTGTCATTTTTTTAAAAAATTTAGTTTGAGACAGATCTGTCCCCCAGGCTGGAGTGCAGTGGTACAATCTTGGCTCAATGCAACCTCCACCTCTAGGGTTCAAGTAATTCTCCTGCTTCAACATCCTAAGTAGCTGGGATTACAGGCGTGTACCACCATGCATGGTGAATTTTCGCATTTTTAGTAGAGATAGGGTTTTGCCATGTTGGCCAGGCTTGTCTCAAACTCCTGGCCTCAAGTGATTCACCTGCCTTGGCCTCCCAAAGTGCTGGGATTACAAGTGTGAGCCACTGCATCCAGCCTCCCTTTATCATTTCTAATTGTGTTTACTTGGATCTTCTCTTTTTTTTTTTTTTTTTTTTTTTTTTTTTTTGTTTTTTTTTTATAATGTGAGTAGTCTATTTTTCTTATTAATTTTTTTCAAAAAATCAACTCCTGGATTTGCCAGTCTTCTGTATGGCTTTTGTGTCTCAATTTCCTTCAGTTCAGCTCTGATTTTGGTAATTTCTTGTCTTCTGCTAGCTTTAGAGTTGGTTTTCTCTTGCTTCTCTAGTTCTTGTAGTTGTGATGTTAAGTTGTTAATTTGAAATTTTTGTTTTGATGCAGTCATTTAGTGCTATAAAAGTTCCTCTTAACAATGAATTAGCTGTATCTCAGAGAGCCTGGTATGTTGTATCTTTTCTCATAAGTTTCAAAGGATTTCTTGATTTCTGCCTTAATTTCAGTGTTTACTCAAAAGCCATTCAGGAGCAGGTTGTTTAATTTCCATGTAATAGTATGGTAGTGTGTGATTTTCTTAGTATTAATTTCTATTTTTATTGTGCTGTGGTCTAAGGGCATGGTTGTTTATGATTTCATTTTTTAAAAATTTGCTGACTATTGTTTTATGTCCAATTGTATGGTCAGTTTGGAGTATGTGTCATATGATAATGAGAAGAATGGATATTCTGTTGTTTTGGGGTGGAGAGTTCTGTAGATGATTATTAAGTCCATTTGGTCAAGTTTTGAGTTTAGGTCCTGAATATCTTTGCTTTTCTGCATTGACAAACTGTCTAATACTGTCAGTGGGGTGTTGAAGTCTCCCACTATTATAGTATGGGAATCTAAGTCTCTTTGTAGGTCTCTAAGAACTTATTTTATGTATTTGAGTGCACCTGTGTTGGATGTGTATGCATTTAGGATAGTTAGGTCTTCTTGGTGAATTGAACCATTTACCATTGTATAATATGTGTTTTTTTTTAATCTTATTGTTTTGAAGTCTGTTTGGTATGAAATTAGGATTGCAACCCCTGATATTTTCTGTTTTTCATGTGCTTGGTAGACTTTTTTCATTTTTTTATTTTGAGCTTATGGGTATCATTGTATAATATGTGCAATGGGCGTCTTGAAGACAGCATACTAGTGGATCTTGCTTCTTTATGCAGCTTGCTACTCTGTAGCTTTTAATCGGGGCATTTAGCAACTTTACGTTCAAGATTAGATTGATATGTATTGATTTGATCCTGTCATCATGTTCTTAGCTGGTTATTATGCAGACTTGTTTGTGTGCTTGCTTTATAGTGTCACCGGTCTGCATTTGTAAGTGTGTTTTTGTAGTGACTGGTAACTATCTTTCCTTTCCATATTTAGTGTATCTTTCAGGACCTCTTGTAAGGCATGTCTGGTGGTAAAAGAAAAAAAAATGCCTCAGCATTTGCTTATCTGAAAAGGATCTTATTTATCCTTCACTTATGCAACTTAGTTTACCTGGATGTGAAATTCTTGGTTGGAAATATTTTTTCTTTCTTTTTTTTTTAAATTGCATTTTAGGTTTTGGGGTACATGTAAAGAACATGTAAGATTGTTGCATAGGTACACACATAGCAGTGTGGTTTGCTGCCTTCCTCCCCATCACCTATATCTGGCATTTCTCCCCATGTTATCCCTCCCCAACTCCCCAGGAAATATTTTTTCTTTAAGAATGCTGAAGATAGGCTTCCAATCTCTTCTGGCTTGTAGAGTTTCTTCTGAAAGGTTCACTGTTAGCCTGATGGACTGCCCTTTGTAGGTGACCTACTCTTCTCTTTAGCTGCCTTTAACATTTTTTTTTTCTTTTGTTTCAACCTGGTTATCTTTGTTTTTCTTCTACCTTCCTAATGCTATGTTATCAATCTTCCTGAATTGTTTATCTTCTTTTCCCCAACCTCTTACATGTGCAGTTTCAGGAGTTAGTTCTTTTTTTTTTTTTCTTTCTGTTTACTTTCTTGGTA